GGGTCTGAATCTGATGGCGATGCTAATTCTGATAGTGGCTCAGAATTGGACACTGGTTCTGGTTCAGAAATGGCTACTGAGATCAAATCTGATGCAAATTCTGTGTCTGATGGCATGACTGGGTCAGACAATAATACTGATACTGATACTGAATCTGATACCACACCAGCATCTGACACTGAATCTGATACCACACCTACATCTGATACTGATCCTGACACCACAGGTACATCTGATACTGATCCTGATACCACACCTACATCTGAATCTGATACTGAATCTGATACCACACCTACATCTGATACTGATCCTGATACCACACCTACATCTGATACCACACCTGATCCTGATACCACACCTGAATCTGATACCACACCTGCAGCAGATACTGAATCTGATACCACACCTACATCTGATACTGATTCTGACATCACAGGTACATCTGATACTGATCCTGATACCATACTTACATCTGAATCTGATACTGAATCTGATACCACACCTGAATCTGACACTGATACCACACTTGAATCTGATAGCACACCTGCATCTGATACTGATCCTGATACCACACCTACATCTGACACTGATTCTGATACCACACCAGCATCTGATACTGAATCTGACACCACAGGTACATCTGACACTGATTCTGACACCACAGGTACATCTGATACTGATTCTGACACCACAGGTACATCTGATACTGATCCTGATACCACGCCTACATCTGAATCTGATACTGAATCTGATACCACACCTGAATCTGATACCACACCTGCATCTGATACTGATCCTGATACCACACCTGAATCTGATACCACGCCTACATCTGACACTGATTCTGATACCACACCTGCATCTGAATCTGATACCACACCTGCATCTGATTCTGATCCTGATACCACACCTACATCTGATACCACACCTGCATCTGACACTGATACCGCACCTGAATCTGATAGTACACCTGCATCTGACACTGATACCGCACCTGAATCTGATAGTACACCTGCAGCAGATACTGAATCTGACACCACAGGTACCTCTGATACTGACACTGAATCTGACACCACAGGTACATCTGACAGTGAATCTGACACCACAGGTACATCTGACACCACAGGTACAGCTGATGCTGAGACTGATGCTGTCTGTGTGTCTGATGCTGTATCGGATACTGACACCAGGGGGCAGCAGTGTTGCTCTTGGGCATCTCGTGGAAGGAGGCAGGTGCAGGGCTCGCCCTCCAAGCCAGGGTTTGAGTCAGCGCTGGCTGCCCCGTGGGGCGGGGGCTGGGCGGGGGCCCAGTAGGGTGTATACCGTGCCAATAGGGGGAGCCAGTGAGGGATTCTGCTGGGTCGTGGAGGCACAGGGGCAGGAAGGGGGCGCTGGGCAGAGGTGAGGGCACTGGGG